ATAATAGAAAATCATATAATAAGCACTCTTGTTCCCACAATCTAGAATTAACAAATATAAACATTTTGTTTTGCTTCGTATTTTAAAAAATTAAATATTACAGGTAGATTTGAGGTTTTCTCTGTCCATTTAGTTCCCTTCTTAGTTCCATCCGTCTCTCTCTCTCCCCAGAAGCAAACACCACCATAAATATGGTGTGTATCCTTTCAGGCCCTGTGTTTAAACTTCTATCATATATATGGAAACTGCAAACTACATGAATTGTTGTGTGTTTCTAAGTGTATATAAATTATCACATATTCATTAGTGTTTTGAGACCGAGCCATATGACTACATACAGATCACTGGTTTTTAACCAGAGGTTTTGTCTCCCAGGGACACTCGGTCATGCTTGGAGACATTTTTGTTTGTCATAACTTGGGGATGGGAGTGCTACTGGAATCTAGTGGTAGAGGCCAGGGATGCTGGTAAACAACCTACAGTGTACAGGCCCACCCCACATGAAAGAATTATCCAGCCTAAAATGCCAATAATGCTGTAATTGAAAAACCCTGATATAAGGTTTATTCAATATTTTGCTTTTATAAACAATACTACACTTAGCACCGTTACATGCATCTCTGAGTGCACATATGCAAGATTTTCTCTATTGAGGCAGAATCATACAGAATGTAAGAAGGCTCTAGAGGCTCTCTGGGCTCAAGTCCCCATTCCACTATTTACTTCCTGAATGACCTTGGGCAAATTACTTCATCTCTCTTGACCTCAGTTGACTTGTCCTCAAAATGGGAATAATAATACTTCCCTATATATGTGAGCTAATTTGCAAAATGCTTGGGACTATGCCTGGCACACGGTAAGCATTCAAGAAATGTTAGCTTTTATTTAGAGGTAGCAGTATTTTCATAATCAATATTATCATTACATAACCTTAAAATGAAAGCACACTGTTTAAATTCTATTAAATATTTTTAAATTACTGTAATTTATACTCCCACCAGTAGGGTATAAGAGTCCCCATTTCTCCATATTTTTGGCTATATTTGATATTCCAGACTTAATCTTAAGATACAAAATGATATCTTCTTTTATTTTAATTTGCATTTTTTTCTTTTTCTTTTTCTTTTTTTTTGAGACAAGTTCTTGCTTTGTTACCCAGGCTGGAGTGCAGTAAGGCAGCTAAAGTGCATTGGCACAATCACGGCTCACTGCAGCCTTGACCTCCCAGGCTCAAGCAACCCTCCTGCATCAACCTTCCAAGCAGCTGGGAAATATAGGTGCACGCCACTATGCCTGGGTAACTTCTGTATTTTTTGTAGAGACAGGGTTTTGCCATGTTGCCCAGGCTGCTCTTGAACTCCTGGGCTCAAGAAATCTGCTTGTCTTGGTCTCACAAAGTGCCAGAATTACAGGCATGAGCTAATGTGTTCAGCATGCATTTTCAAGATCACTGTTTTCGTATATTTATTGGTCAATTGGTTTTATTGCTCTGTAAATTTCCATATCATTCTCTGTCCATTTTTTGATTTATTATTTAATGTTGTAAAAACATAATGTAAAAAATACTAAAAACACTGAATGTTTCTATACAATTAAAAATTCACAAAATGTAAAATATCATATAAAGAAAAGCCTCTTTTCCACCCCTGTTCCTCAGCTAGCCAGTCCGTCTCCTTAGAGGCAACCATTTTTAGTTATTAGATTCCCATCCTTCCAGAAAAAGCTTATATGCATATTCAAAAAAATAGGTATTCTTTTCCTACCTAAATGGTAGCATAGTACATGCATTGTTCTACATTATTTGTTTTTTAATTTCTTCACATAATAACATATCTTGGGCATACTTTCACTTGTAAATAAAGAAGTCCCTGATTCTTTTTTATTTCTATTCAATTATAAAGCTGGGCTATAATTTATTTAAATATTTCCCTACTGATGTACATTTAGGTTGTTTTCTAAAATTTTGCTAATGCGAACATTACCATGAAGTCCAAAGTAAATTTATATGTGTTAGTATATCTGCAGAATAAATTCCTAGAGGCGGAATTTCTAGGACAAAGGAGATAAGCATTTGTAATTTTGAAACATAACAGTATTGACCTCTGTAGACATTCTATCAATTTACATTGACTCTGAAATGTGAATCCTGAGGCAGGAGCAGCTCTGTAGCTGGAATCCTGATGCAAGGAGGCTTATGTAATGTTGTGAGGCTGTCTAGTCTGACAAGTGAGCTGCCTCTAGCCTTCACTGGGCTCTGATAAGGTGTCTCATCCCATTAGTCTTGGTGTGTCCCTCCAGATCTGTGCGCCCACGGCTGCATGGCTCCTTGTCTGCTTTCTTGTGTGTGATAGCTGTCTCGTGCATGACAGCTCTGCATCACTTCCTCTTCTATGGCTAATTTTTATAAACTCTATGCCTCAGAGTTGACTTGGAAGTCCTTTGGAACTAACACAATAACAGCTCTCTCAAAACCCCAGCCCTTGCAAATTGGAGACATTTCGTTTCAGACTACTGAGACTACTAAGAGTTTAAGATATCCATTCAGGGGCTGGGTGCAGTGGCTCACACCTGTAATCCCAGCACTTTGGGAGGCTGAGGCAGGTGGGTCACCTGAGGTCAGGAGTTCAAGACCAGCCTGGCCAATGTGGTGAAACCTCATCTATACTAAAAATACAAAAAATTATCTGGGTGTGGTGGCAGGTGCCTGTAATCCCAGCTACTTGGCAGGCTGAGGCAGGAGAATTGCTTGAACCTGGGAGGCAGAAGTTACAGTGAGCCGATATCGCACCATTGCACTCCAGCCAGTGTAACACAAGCAAAACTCCGTCTCAAAAAAATATATATCCATTCAGTCCAGTGGATGGATAACCCAGGATAACAATAATAATTTGAGAGAGTAAAGCACCTTTGAAACACTATAGATTCTCCTTTATTTCTAAATTTTCTTTCTCATGAAATCATTGGTACCTGTTTGGTGATAGTTGTTTGAAACTCTCCAGTGGTGTTCATAGGTGTATTTTCATTCCTTCTGCTGGCTTGCCCAACTTCATTGAAATACTAATATTCTTTTAAAATATTTGTTTATCATTTTTAAAGATTACCATTTGTTTTTGTTAATGCTGAAACAAGGAAGAATAAAGGAGATGTAATATGGACTAGGAAACCTGGAACTAAGTCTGAGATCTGTCATTTATTAGCTGGATGAGCTGGAACAATTACTAGTGTCTCTAAACCAGGGGTTATCAACGTGTGGGCCTCTATCAGCAGCATCAACATCTCTAGGGAATTTGCCTAAAATGTCAATCATCAGGCCCCACCAAGGACCTGTTAAAACAGAAAGTCTTTGCTGGAGTTCCACAAATCTGAATTTTAACAGTTTTCCAAGTGATTCTGAAGAATACTGAATTGCTTTGTTTGAGAATGGATACAAATAATTTCTCACCGGTGAGACTTAAATGAGGTAATATAAGCAAAATAAATCTATAAATCAGGGTCATAATGTCAAATTGCCTTCAAGGGCCAAAAAGACCTGAGGTAGCGGAGTGGTGGAGAACACATCATAGCCACCCGCTCTAAAGGCATCTACGTTATCATTATTTTCTAAATCGTCATGCCAGTCAAACAGGACCTGTCAAAAGTTAAATTCTGCCTCTAGGGGCCAGCAGTTTAGGAGTATAGTAAAACAATATACAGATGTTAGGCTGTTTTAATTCAACCCTAAAGCAAATAAACAGGTCTGGAGGTATAACATTTCTGAAAGTCTTTGGTTTACAACAGTTGCTATGATTAGGGGAACCACATAATTCACAGTCCAAACTGGACATTTCTGAAAATGAAAGGAGGTGCTATTAATAATTACACCAGGACAAAGTGAAACCCAGGATGGCTCCAGGCAAAGCAGAATGTATAATCACTGACTATTATTATAAAATCATCCACAAGCCCTGTTTGACCTAAAATTAAGATTAAAAAAAATTTAATGGTGTACTTCTTGCTGGGGACAGACAGCCAATAATGAGGGAGGGTGGAAGTTAGACCAAGGGAAGAGGTAGGAAGGAAGCATCTTTTTCCTTAAGACAAGAGGCAAGGAGGGAAGGTTAGGACACAAATGTACAGAAGGGAATGTATGTGACACTGGTTGATGTATTCCTAGTAAGAACGAAAGCCATAGAGGAAGGCGAGTCAGGGATCAGAGAAGCACCAAGAAGGAAGAGGAAGCACATGTAGACAGAATTGGCAAAGCGAAGAACGGGCATGGAGACACCAGCCCATTGGAGACATACAGGGAAAAAAATAACAGAGGACAGACTGCTGCAGGTGCTGTGGGGAGGCCGAAGATCACCAGGGGAAGAGCAAAGTACAAAAACAAAGAATGACTTTTCAGAAAGGAAATTCCTTGCCTCTTCCACTGAACTAGGTAGTGATTGGTTGGCCCTGTGACTGGAAATTCTCCAAGGTAGGTGATGATAATCTCCACATTTTCACAAAATTTTGTGAGGAACCAAAGTACCTAAGGTAGAAAATTGCCCTTCCCTTCCTTCCTTCCTTTCTAGATGCTGTACCCAGGCTTGAACTTTGCATACAAGATGCCCAAAGCATTGTGGTGAACTAGCTGTGACCCCACCCACCTCTCCACTCCCTACTCAGAGCTGATGGAAATCCCCTGTGAGTGGTGTTTGGTGCCCCCATCATTCTGATCTTAGCCACCATACAAACATATCTTTAGTTCAAAGTTCAGGACAACTTATCCCACTTTATAAGCAGCTTATTACACATTCAAAATAACCATTTGTTCTCAAGAGGTAGCAAGGTAGGATTGCCCACCTGTTTTCCTCTTTTTATGATATTTTCTAGATCTAAATTTTACCTTTTTCTATCATTCTTTTATTTTTTTTCTCTCCTTCTTCTTTTCCTCTCTCCCTGCTCTTCTAACTAATTGGCAGAATCTCTGCCCTCCACCTTTTCTGACTCCCTTCTCCCTTCCTAGAAGCGGTGTCCACATGGACTCCTGGACTCCTACAGACTTGACACAGCTTCCTGCAGTCTTGCAACAGCGCCGTGGCTCTGTCATGGCCTGTGGGCAGTTCGTGAACAAGCTGCAAGAGGAAGTGATCTGTTCCATCTGCCTGGATGTTCTGGAGAAACCTGCCACCATTGACTGTGGGCACAATTTCTGCCTCAAATGCATCACTCAGAGTGAGGAAGCATCATGCGAATTTTTCAAATGTCCCCTCTGCAAAACTTCTGTAAGGAAGAACACGATGATGTCCAACTGACTGTTGGTGAATCTGGTGGAGAAAATCCAAGCTCTAGATGCCTCTGAGGTGCAGTCTGAAAGGAAAACACCTGCATGCCGGGGGCACCAGGAGATGTTCCATTATTTCTGCGAGGATGATTTGTGTGTCATGAATCCAAGGACCACAAATCTCATAATGCCAGCTTGATTGATGAAGCTGCCCAGAATTACCAGGTAGGCATTTGAGGTTTTTTCCCTGCTCCCTTATCAGCCCAGGCATTCAGTGAGGCCCTGGAAACTGCTACCTTCCCACTGTGGGTTTGCACCCCATTGCCCCCACCCCTTGGGCTTGAGTGGGCAACTTGCAGTCAGGCACAGTGGGTTCAAAGAGCTGAGTCTGGGAACTGCTGGCTGTTTAAATCAAGGCTCAAGGCAGAATGAAAAGGATGTGAAAATTTGACTCAGAAGGTTTGGGCTCAAGTTCAGTCTCCTGAGTTTACTGTGTAACCTGTAAGGAATCACTTCACCTCTCTGAGCCTCAGGTACCTCACCTTTCAAATGGCAAAAACAAAACATCTCCCTTAAAGTTGTTGGTAGGACAGATGAAGGGAAGTGCGTAGGGGTTGATAATCCCAAAGCACCATTCATAGCTTCATAGTTAGTCATAAATAACCGTGTTCTGTTCGTTTAGGTCACTTAGGCTCCAGACTTCTTCCTTCCCAGCCACCCCTTTTCCCCCAGCTTGAGAAAGGCGGGTCCTTAATAATTACACAAGGACTCACCTGGAGAGTGTCACATGCTCTCCTAAGAGACCAGGAGGATTTTATGAGGCCCAGAAATCACCAGGCACAGCCTGCTCAAACGGCCCTCTCTCCGCAGGGGCAGAGTCAAGCGCAGATGGAAGTCTTACAGCCAAAGGAGGAGACGGTACAAGTGAAGGCACAGGCGAACAGAGCATCCGTGACTTCAGGGTAAGAAAAACTCCATCCCATGATCACCGGAAGCAGAAACATCTCTGCAAAGCTCTTGGAATCCCCTATTACACTGACTCCTCAGAAAAAGACCCAATGAAAACGAAGGAGTGGCGCAGAGCTGAACAGAGCGCCAGAAGAAGGGCCTGGGACAGAGGGCGCCGCGCGGCGCGGCGGGTTGGGCCAAGTCCTCTCCTCTGTGCCTCAGCCCCTGACCCGCCAGGCGGCAGCACCTCCCGCGTTGGCCTCGCTGTTAACGCGGGCTGGCTGCTTCGGTCTCCACCTGCAACAAGGTGGGGAACGCCAAACCGCGCTGGTCTTAGAATCGCAAGCTCAGGTTTAAGATACAGCTGCGCCCTCAGCGGATCCCCCAACTACAAAATGAAACATTGACCGAGTGTGGTGGCTCACGCCAGTAATCCCAGGGCTCTGGGAGGATCGCTTGACCCCAGGAGTTTAAGACTTGCCGGGGGAGGACTCAAGATGGTGCTGTGAGAACAACCCAGGATTGAAGCTCGCTGGACGCACGGAGAGGGTGAGTCGGGGAAGCATTTCCAGATGGATCTTAGTTGCCCACAGAACGGGGAAATCCCCAGGTATAAAAGAGACGCGGGACGCCAGGCAGAGGTCTCCGCAGCCGGTGGGGCTCCGGCCGGCACCAGAGCGCAGAGGCGCACCACAGCGCTCCATACAAAAGCACACTGTTACAGGTGCCCCGTGGAACCGCAAACTAAGACCTGAGAGGGCTGAACTTGAGACTGAACGGGTCTTGAACTGTGACCCAGCCCAGGAAATCCCAGGGACTCAGCGTTTGGGGGAGCGCAGTGCGACAAACAAAACCGCCATTCCAAATGCTCCCGGTGAATAGGTTTTTTTTTTAAAGCGCAGCTCCGCGGGGGAGGGGCGTCAGCCATTACCGAGGCAATCAGCACCTACTGAGGTACACGTCCATTGCTGAGGCAGCCTGCCGCTAGGAGGCAACCCGGTACAACAGAGAGACTCCCCGCAGGGCGTAGCCCGTGGCAACAGGGCGGAGACCACAGCAGAAGGGCGGAGCCTGCAGGAAAAGGGCGAACCTCATACCAGCAGGGCGGAGCCTCGGCAGGCAGAAAGTGACTAGACTGCCTCCTAGCTGGGCAGGACAGTGAGGCGGACACTCACAAGGAAAGCCCCAAACCCCGCCACAGACAGAGCATCTGAGGAAAAAAAAAAAAGGGGTTTTCTTACGAGTTAGGTTGCAGCAGAACTAAACATAGCAGCCTAGCAGACCTGAATGAACAACAGAGCTCACAGCTCAGCGATTAAGCCCCTATAAAGTACAAACTGTCTCCTCAAGCAGCTCCCTGACCCCTCTATATACAAAAGACTGACATTAGGCAGGCATCATCCTGGGAAAAAGAAACTGGTAGCATCCCTCGCTGTGCCACAGCAGCTAGAGGTGCACCCCAGACAAGCAGGGTCTGGAGCGAACCTCAGCAGTCGTACAGCGAAGGGGCTAGACTGGCAGAAGGAAAACCAAGCAACAGAAATACTTCATCATCAACATTCTGGGTGTCCACTCAGAGACCCAATCGAAAAGTCAGCAACTACGCAGACGACTAGCGGACAAATCCACAAAGATGGGAAGAAACCAGCGCAAAAAGGAGGAAAACACCCGAAACCAGAACACCTCACCTCCTAGAAAGGACCAAAACTCCTCCCCAACAACGGAACAAAGCTGGACGGAGAATGACTGTGACGAAATGATGGAATTAGACTTCAGAAGATGGATAATGAGAAACTTTTGTGAGCTAAAAGATCATGTATTAAATCAATGCAAAGAAACTAAGAACCTTGAAAAAAGATTTGAAAAAAGATTCAAGGAAATGATAACAAGAATGGATAACTTAGAGAGGAATATGAATGAATTAAAGGAGCTGAAAAACACAATACGAGAACTTCGCGAAGCATGCACAAGTTTCAATAGCCGAATCAACCAAGCAGAAGAAAGAATATCTGAAGTCGAAGACCAACTCAATGAAATAAAACGAGAAACCAAGATTAGAGAAAAAAGCGCAAAAAGGAATGAACAAAGTCTCCAAGAAATGTGGGACTATGTGAAAAGACCTAACCTACGTTTGATAGGTGTACCAGAAGGGGACGAAGAGAATGAATCCAAGCTGGAAAATACTCTTCAGGACATCATCCAGGAAAACTTCCCCCACCTAGCAAGACAGGCCAACACTCAATTGCAGGAAATACAGAGAACATCACAAAGATATTCCGCAAGAAGAGCAACCCCAAGGCACATAATCGTTAGATTCAACAGGGTTGAAATAAAGGAGAGAATACTAAGGGCAGCCAGAGAGAAAGGTTGGGTCACCCACAAAGGGAAGCCCATCAGAATCACAGCAGATCTCTCGGCAGAAACACTACAAGCCAGAAGAGAGTGGGGGCCAATATTCAACATTCTTAAAGAAAAGAACTTTCAACCCAGAATTTCATATCCAGCCAAACTGAGCTTCAGAAGTGAAGGAAAAATAAAATCCTTTGCGAACAAGCAAGTACTCAGAGATTTTGTCACCACCAGGCCTGCTTTACAAGAGCTCCTAAAAGAGGCACTACACATAGAAAGGATCAACCAGTACCAGCCATTCCAAAATCACACTGAATGCTAAAGAGCATCAACATAATGAAGAATCTACAACAACTAACAGGCAAAACAGCCACTTAGCATCAAAATGGCAGTATCAAATTCACACATAACAATATTAACCCTAAATGTAAATGGACTAAATGCACCAATCAAAAGACACAGACTGGCAAATTGGATAAAAATCCAAAACCCATCAGTGTGCTGTATCCAGGAAACCCATCTCACATGCAAGGATACACAAAGGCTCAAAATAAAGGGATGGAGGAAGATTTACCAAGCAAATGGAAAGCAAAAAAAAAGCAGGAGTTGCAATTCTCATCTCTGATAAAATAGACTTTAAAGCAACAAAGATCAAAAGAGACGAAGGCCATTACATAATGGTAAAAGGATCGATACAACAAGAAGAGCTAACGATCCTAAACATATATGGACTCAATGCAGGAGCACCCAGGTAGATAAGGCAAGTTCTTAACGCCTTACAAAAGGACTTAGACTCCCACACAATAATAGTGGGAGACTTTAACACTCCACTGTCAATACTAGACAGATCAACCAGACAGAAAATCAACAAGGATATCCAGGGCTTGAACTCAGACCTGGAGCAAGCAAACCTGATAGACATTTACAGAACTCTCCACCCCAAATCCACAGAATGCACATTCTTCTCAGCACCACATCACACCTAGTCTAAAATTGACCACATAATTGGAAGCAAAGCACTGCTCAACAAATGCAAAACAACTGAAATCATAACAAACAGCCTCTCAGACCATAGCGCAATCAAGTTAGAACTCAGAATTCAGAAACCAACCCAGAACCACACAGCTTCATGGAAACTGAACAACTGGCTCTTGAATGTTGACTGGGTAAACAATGAAATGAAGGCAGAAATAAAGAAGTTCTTTGAAACCAATGAGAACGAAGACACAACGTGCCAGAACCTCTGGGACACATTTAAAGCAGTCTCTAGAGGAAAGTATATAGCAATAAGTGCCCATATGAGGAGAATGAAGAGATCCAAAATTGACACCCTATCGTCAAAATTGAAAGAGCTAGAGGAGCAAGATCAAAAAAAGTCAAAACCCAGCAGAAGACAAGAAATAACTAAGATCAGAGCTGAGCTGAAGGAGATTGAGACACGAAAAACCCTTCAAAAAATCAATAAATCCAAGAGCTGGTTTTTTGAAAAGATCAACAAAATAGACAGACCACTAGCCAGATTGATTAAAAATAAAAGAGAGAACAACCAAATAGATGCAATAAAAAATGATAAAGGGGAAATCACCACAGATTCCACAGAAATTCAGACCATCATCAGAGAATATTACAAACAACTGTATGTGCATAAACTAGTAAACCTGGAAGAAATGGATAAATTCCTGGACTCCTGTGTCCTCCCAAGCCTAAACCAGGAGGAAGCTGAAACTATGAATAGACCAATAACAAGGTCTGAAGTTGAGGCAGCAATTAAGAGCCTACCCCTCAAAAAAAGCCCAGGTCCAGACAGGTTCACAGCCGAATTCTACCAGACACACAAGGAGGAGCTAGTACCATTCCTTCTAAAACTATTTCAAACAATCCAAAAAGAGGGAATCCTTCCCAAATCATTTTATGAGACCAACATCATTCTGATACCAAAACCCGGCAGAGACCCAACGAGAAAAGAAAACTTCAGGCCAATATCCATGATGAACATAGATGCAAAAATCTTCAATAAAATACTGGCAAGCCGATTGCAACAGCAAATCAAAAAACTTATTCATCATGATCAAGTAGGATTCATCCCGGGGATGCAAGGCTGGTTCAACATACGCAAGTCTAGAAACGTAATTCACCACATAAACAGAACCAAAAACAAAAACCACATGATTATCTCAATTGACGCAGGGAAGGCATTTGACAAAATTCAACAGCCCTTTATGCTAAAAACCCTCAATAAACTCGGTATCGATGGAACGTATCTCAAAGTAATAAAAGCTATTTATGACAAACCAACAGCCAATATCATACTGAATGGGCAAAAACTGGAAGCATTCCCTTTGAAATCTGGCATTAGACAAGGATGCCCTCTTTCACCACTCCTATTCAATATAGTACTGGAAGTCCTAGCCAGAGCAATCAGGCAAGAAAAAGAAATAAAGCGTATTCAAAATGGAAAGGTGGAAGCCAAACTGTCTCTATTTGCAGACGACATGACAGTATACCTAGAAGACCCCATCGCCTCAGCCCAAAAACTTCTGAAACTGATAAGCAACTTCAGCAAAGTCTCAGGATATAAAATCAATGTGCAAAAATCACAAGCATTCGTCTACACCAATAACAGACTTAAAGAAAGCCAAATCAAGAACGAACTGCCATTCGCAATTGCTACAAAAAGAATAAAATACCTTGGAATACAACTCACAAGGAACGTAAGAGACCTCTTCAAGGAGAACTACAAACCACTGCTCAATGAAATCAGAGAGGACACAAACAGATGGAGAAACATTCCATGTTCATGGTTAGGAAGAATTAATATCATGAAAATGGCTATACTGCCCAAAGTAATTTACAGAATCAACGCTATCCCCATCAAGCTACCATTGACTTTCTTCACAGAACTGGAAAAAACCACCATGAACTTCATATGGAACCAAAAGAGAGCCTGCATAGCCTAGTCAATTCTAAGCAAAAAGAACACAGCGGGGGGCATCACACTACCGGATTTCAAACTATACTACAAGGCTACAGTAATCAAAACAGCATGGTACTGGTACCA